GCGTGCACTTTGACTAGTTGTAATGTTGTTGCCGGCGTTCTCTCTGCCTGCACGCAGTCTGGTGAACTTAGCTTCGGAGCGCAGGTCCATGGTTTTGCGGTGAAGATCAGCAGGTACACTGAAGCCGATGCCTTCGTCGGTGGAGCTTTGGTCGACATGTATGGCAGGTGCGGCTGCATTGGACTTGCTAGGCTTGCATTTGACTGCATGGCTGAGAGAACCGTGGTGGCTTGGTCTTCGCTTATCGCAAACTATGTGCGTAAAGGTGATGTTTTGGTGGCTATAGACGTCTTGAGGGAAATGATTCAGGGTGGCACGGAGCCGAACAATGTAACGTTAACCACCTTGATCTCTGCATGCTCCCACATACCTTTTCTCTCCTACGGACGGGAGTTGCATGCTGCTGTAGTCAGAAGGAGCTCAAGGAAGCCAGACGTGTTTGTGTCTACTGCATTGATCGGCATGTATTCCAAGTGGGGATACCTGTCCTGTGCTCAGAATGTGTTTCATATGGTTGGAAGTTATTTGGGTTTTTGGCCGACGGCAATATGGAACGCGTTGATCACAGGATATGTGGCAAATGGTAGTCTGGATGGTGCCTTGAATACATTCCAGTACATGTGCCGGTCTTCTAATGCAGGATCACAGTTGAACTCTGTGACCATGGCTATTGTTCTTCCTATCTGCAGTAGATTGGTGTTGATACTTCATGGGGAAGAACTCCATTGTTATGCCATAAAACATGGATTGGAAAAAGAGATTGTTGTAGGAAATGGGCTTTTGCACTTTTATAGCAAGTGCGGAAACATTGCTCTCGCAAGGAAACAGTTTGACATGATGACAGAGAAGAACACGATCTCCTGGACTACGCTGATCGATGGCTATGGAATGCAAGGTGATGGACGCAGTGCAATCAAAGTTTTTGAAAATATGGTGAGAGATGCAACTGTGAAGCCAGACAATATCACTTTTGTAGCACTTGTCTCTGCATGTAGTCATTCTGGTCTGGTGGAGGAAGGCCTTAGATACTTTGAAGTGATGACTCGAGAGTATGGCATCATCCCTACAGAAGAAAATTATGGGTGCCTGGTAGATCTTCTAGCTCGATCTGGAAACATAGATGAAGCTAAAAAATTTATCAAGAAACTTCCGGTAGAGCCTACTGAAAATATTTGGGGTGCCCTACTTGGTGCTTGCAGAATTCACCAGAATCTTGATGTGGCAGAACTTGCAATGCAGCATCTACGCCATCTTGAGCAACGGGGAAGTGGTTTTCAAGCACTGTTATCTAACCTATATGCTGAGATGGATAGAAGAGATGGTTCTGTCAAGATGCAGCAGGAGATGGTTGAAATTGGCGTGCCAAAGAGGAAAGGTTATAGTTGGTTGGAGAGTAAGAAGGACTCAGCCGCAATATGTTGAATCAATCCAGTATCAATGGCATGGGGAAGGGAGAATGTTTTTGCAGTATGAGATACCAAATGATCCTATTGGCACTGGGACATAAAAACATAATCTTGAAAATGTTTGGTTCGGAACATGTTCCTCTGTGTTACTTCTTGCGCTATAGGTATCTAATCACACTCCTCTTTTTATTTGGTAGGTATCTGATTACACTCCTTTCATATCTTTTGGTGTTCTATTCATTTTCCTTTATGAATCATTTCAACTGGATATCAATAAAAAATCAATTAAAACATAAAATGCATGGAACTTTTTCAGTTTATGTGGTTCAATATGTCATATCTCAAGTTATTATACTTTATTATATAAAAAGGTAACCATCGCATTTGTCATACTCTTTCAATCTTTTGCCTTAGTACAAAATTGGGAACTCTGGATGGGCAACTAGATCCGGTTCACATGTCTGGATGGCACCAACATTTGCTTGCAATCTTGTATTCAGTTTTTGCTCAATATTTCATGAAACTGCTTGTTGAACTCCAACGGATTATGCTTTGCTGCATTGTTCACCGTCGAGAGTGGTACTATGAGGTCGTAAACTTTGCATACCAAAATCTTTATGTTAATTACATGACTGAACAAAGTATATTGCGGATCACTAAACATGTACTTTCTATTACTTGATTGATATATCATCTGATATCATCTTTGTGCAGGTCGGTTGAAGAAACACAATGCAACCGGGGAGCTGCAATCGAGGCTATCAGTGAAAGAGGAAAGGAAAGACTGACAGGCAAATGGGGCCGTTTATTTTGAAGAATTGACGAAGGCATTTAATTTAGAAACTGGAGTACGTCACTCTATTTCCTTTTCCCCTAGATCTAACTATCAGTTAGACCTTATGATACAATCTCCATTGTGTCATGACTTCCATAGTGTGCAGCACTCTGGAGAAGCATTAACATACATAAAACAGCATGACACCTCGCGAACAGAAACAACCTTCTTTTACATTTTGTAAATGTCATACATGGATAAATACAAACCAAGTTTATGGGTTCTTCACCTTGAAGAATTTCATTAGAGCTGCTCAGGTTTCAATGTGGCCTACACACTCAAAAAGTGAACAAATGATAATATGAACTAAAACTTCACTTATTAGACATGACAATTAATGCAAACACATGAAACAGAGTTTTCAGTCATATACCATAGTCTAATGTGTGAAGCTAACTATATGCTTCTTATCGTTTGCAGACACCCGATTTCATCTCACCGGATCCAGTGTTGATCCATGCACTTCCTATTATATCCATAGAGATTTACTTTTCTTTTGTGTTTCAACGGTGCATGTGAAATCCGTATCATATCCTATTCATAATTTGCTGTGTTCTATGACTGATTCGTTTAACATGTGTCCGATCTCTTTCATTGGATTCAAATCTTAATTAAATAGTATATATCTCAAGCATGGTGGATAAAAGTATGAAATCAACATCCATCTTAAAATAGGGAACTAGAGAATAAACATTAACCAAGCTTCTTTTCATTTTTTGATAACACGCATGTTTCTCTAATCCAGTGCAGGAACATTCATGCATTTGAGATGATGGAGCCGATGTCGATCCCGACATGAGCCACGGGCAGAGTTCATGCATTCCAATGGGTGCTGTGCCATCAGTGGTTGAATTAGGAGCAGGGTGTGGCTGAGATGCTGTGGCAGCAGCCTGATGAATTGTGATAGATACCTTAAGGAAACATCGACAGGAATAAGGAAAGGCCATGACTTTGTGGCAACAAGAAATAAGCATTCATGGTGAAGAAGTCAGTGGCAGGCCATAATCCCACAATTCATCCCCTTAGGGTTCTATTTCTGGCTGACTGGAAAAGCAGATAGATGGAAGGACAGAGACTTTGCTAAGGGGCAGAGAGAGAGATTTTCTGTGCACAATCAAGACAGAGACATTGCTAAGAACTTCTATTACAGAATCCTCTGATTGATCAAAAGAGAAGCTACACACAAACACTGTTCTATTGAACAGTTGCTTAGAACTGGGGCAATTCAGACAAGAAGACATGGCTGAATTAGTTGTGCAATCATCAACTGGCCAAGGCTGTCCGATAAATATGCATTGGATTTACACCTCTTTCTTTAGATCTAGCTGTGCTGATCTATAAGCCTATTAAAAGGGATGGACAACAACAATGAGACTTCGGTACTGTGTCTGAGAGGATTTATTGTAGTCTTAGGCAAAAGACCAAAGGTTATACATTACAGTTGCTTTCCTTGTGCCTCTGATCTTCCATTCTATGGAATGAGATCTAATATAAACTTGACGTTGCATTTATGAGCAGGAACAACAAGGGACGCCGACAAGGTGTTCGACCTGTGGCTCAACTCAATGGCTGAAGAAGCAAAACACCAAAAACCATCACGCCGTTGCCGGGGATCGAACCCGGGTCACCCGCGTGACAGGCGGGAATACTCACCACTATACTACAACGACTTGGTTGGGTAGTCTTCCACAACATCCCTATTTAACTGCAGTGAAGCGAGTTGAAATCACTAGATAATGAAGCGAGTAGGCAACTGATGCAAGCAAGAAACGCCACCGTGTTTGGCTTGGAGGATATCGCCTGCTAGTTGTGTGGTACAAAGAACACAGCTATCTCATCAAGAAAAGAAAGAGAAGTTCTTTAGATCCCCACTCAGCTGACTTCCCATGCGAGTCAATTTCTTGTGTCCTATCCCGGTTGAACAGTGAAGCAGTACTGAGCAGATAGAGAGAGAGATGAAATCCGACATACACTACAACGTTGACACCAAGAAACAGAGGAGCACAAGCAACGTTTGAGTGTAGAAAAGAGGGAAGATCAAACCGAAAAAAAAAAACCGTAAGAAAGGAAGAACAGATGGAGGAGATCCCACTCAAACGAACAACCATTGGCCACTGGCTTTTGGGAGGTCGACCTCGGTGCAAGAATTGCTGCAGGTGATGCATGTCACCTCGCTCGCCCACCTAATCATTGAATTGTTCCATAAGAAAGCACCAAATCTTCTTTCTCTAATTTCCTTTAAAGATTGCTTATTACTTTCCCTCATATCAGTATGCCTACGCATGCATGTGTGACGAGGGTATGTACTGTTTCTGCATATAGTATTCGAGTACTAAGGATTCTATTTTACTGATGAAAACAGTACTCTCAAGTATTTGAGCAAGAAACCTTTCTATTACGTGCCATTTAGCAGTCATCACCTATTCATAGCAAGACTATTCTTCGATTTCTATGGCGTGCTAACAATTTCCATCTACCTTGACTGATTCTTATTTGATCAGCGACGTAACTCCTGCTCTTCCTTCTCTCTGACCATGCCGACAGGTGTTTCCGGATTAGATTTATTGAGCCCTCGTTACTATGACTGGAGATTTCTTCTGCTTCTCGAACAATTTTCTCTCTATCCTCGTTGAATCGATATTATAATGTCATGTGTCAGGTCCGAGGGCAATGACAAAGAGAAGGACCTAAATGCGACACAAGAAAGCGTCAAGAGTGCTGGGCCCTCCCATGAGTGTCAGTCAAGCTACTTCTGGTTTTGGAGATGCTCCATGACCTTGTATCATCTGAAGCTTAGCACTGAAACATGGCGTGCAGGTTGTCACCTGAGTGGGTGATGCATGACGGGGATCAGACCTGTATAAATTGGTGAGGGAGTGTTGGACAAGGTTAGCATAATCCTGGATATGGGTCACCACTGCTGCAGCAAGCAGAAGGTGAAGAGAGGCCTGTGGTCTCCTGAGGAAGATGAGAAGCTGGTCAAGTACATCACCTCCCATGGCCATAGCTGCTGGAGCACTGTCCCCAAAGAAGCAGGTCTCTCTCTCTCTCTCTCTCTCTCTCTCTCTCTCTCTTGCTCGGATCTATTTATCTGAAGTTTCTGGTTGGAGTTTTTAGGGTTACAAAGGTGTGGAAAGAGTTGCAGGCTAAGGTGGATCAACTACTTGAGGCCTGACCTAAAAAGGGGCACCTTCTCGGAAGAAGAAGAAAGAATCATCATAGATGTGCACAGGATCCTAGGCAACAGGTGCAGTGAACCCTAATCCCTTTGAACAAACTACACGCCTTGGGAGATCAAGCGGGTTAAAGTGTTCCTTCTCTCCCTCTGTTCAGGTGGGCTCAGATAGCAAAGCATCTCCCTGGGAGGACAGACAACGAGGTCAAGAACATCTGGAACTCATGCATAAAGAAGAAACTGATATCGCAAGGCTTGGATCCGACGACCCATAACCTATTCCCCTCTTCTCGTCCTACCAACGGCAGCATCAACTCAGACGAGCTTCATCAGCTCCACTATACTCGATCGCCCACCACGCCCTTCACCATCAGCCCCCCCATTAGAAGCCATGACAGAATGAAGAGCCCCATGGAACTGAATCCGCTCCTGGAAACACCACCACATGCTTCTGTCGTTCCCTTGCATGAGACAGCACCTGTGCCCAACTTCCAGTACCAAGACGACCATGTCTTGATGAGCTTCAAGGACCACGGCTCGCATGCTTCGCTCGACTTTATGAACGGCTCTTCTTCCTCCTCTTCCTTAGACCACACGAACATGTCCTCCTCTTCGTTCCATGAACCTGGTTTCATCGATGATTGCATGTGGGATGACAGCACCGTGGAGCCACTGGAAGCGCTGCAGCAAGCTGAAGATCTAGTGCAGGCGCAACCCACGATGTGCAGAATGGGCGTCGATGAGGCGAGCGAGAAGGGGATGGTGATGGAGACCTCCTACGGCAGTGCCACGCTCGATCTTGAGATGATGGAGAGCGCATTGTTGCCTTGTGGAGAGTTTTGCAGCGGGAGCTCAATGGAGCACCTGCAATGGGATTGTTAGGTTTGATTCCTTCCTTTATGGTTCCCTTTTCCCTTGTGTTTTAGCTGCAAAGCAGCTTAGCTCAGGCAATGTGCACCGGAAGTACTGAGCAACTGTGAGAGAGATGATCTGAGAAGGTGCAGTGAAAACTTCTCTTGTTTTACCTGACATTGGTGTATATTAATTTGAGTCTGTCTCCTTCTAGTAGTAAATGTGCCAATGCCTCATATTTATGCTAATCATATATCTTAATGATAATAATCAAGAAGTTACTCAAAGAAACAAAATGAAGTAAAGAAAGGACAAGAAAGTTAAGGAAATGAACTCAAGAGATTGAGTTATGCCATGGAAGTATGTTTGAGACATCCAACTGGTTAGTACATTAATGCATAGTTGATGCATCTTATTTTGGAGTTTATATGAAATATTTTGTTTCGCTGTTTAATGTAATAAATAGAAGTTTAATTTTATAAATAATAATAATAATAATAATAATAGGTTAGAGCATAAAACTATATGATAGTCATAGTAAAGTGAGCTACTAATCATACATTTGTATATCATCTAATCATCAAAAGAAAATGTTGACTAGGATCCACAGATTAAGACAAGGCAAAAAAATGTTGTCCATTGGCTAGTTAATTCCACGATTTAATTATTTTTTATCTCATGATTTAACGAAATTTTATAATAATAATAATAACAGTAATAATACTAATAATAATATTCATATTCATATTCATATTCATATTCATATTCATATTAATATTACTATCCTCGATAACATATTGGCGAGGGTTGTGCTACATTTAGATAGATTGACCACCGTCGAAATCTGTGGGTCCCGCGGCAGGGAACACGTGGAAGTGCTGATTTGCGAGAATGTTGCCTCCGCCGATACGCAGGATCGGCGTACCGTCTTCGCTCCACCGCGTCAGAGACACGTTGGCGTGACCTCATCTTTCCTTCTCCGATCTTCTCTCTCTCTCTAGCACGAATTCTTTTCTTCTCTCGCCTTCTCACAGATATCCATGGCGAAGAAGGTTGCTTCGGTGCAGGCTGCGGTGGAGGAGGTTCAGAAGAAGCTCACAAGGAGAGGATTCCCATATAGAAGATCGAGGACCGCTACAGCCGCGACGTCACCTACAGCAAGCGTCGAAAGGGCCTCTACGGCAAGTCTGTACCACTCCCGGATCAGAGATCACCGTAATCTCCCCGTCCCCCGTTGGCCGCCCCTTCGCCTTCGGCCACCCCTCCGTCAACGTCGTTCTGTGCCACTTTCTCCCTGGCCAGCTGCAGCGGAAGCCCGATCTGGAGGAGCTGCAGCGCAGGGCGGAGAATTTGGAGAAGCTTCAGAGGCTTCCGGTTGAGAAAATTGACAACGACGCTTCGGAGTCTGGCGGTGGATCGGTGCCGGAGGGGCCGCAAAGTGAGGAGATGGTGGAGCTTCCGAGGCCCTCCGATGCCGAAGAAGTAGAAGACATAAGCGAAGCCTGGATGACAATGTTGAAGGATCTCGGCCGCGTCACTGGTTCTCGTGACGACTTCCCTTCTCTGGATAGCATCCCTCCGCCGGATGACCTCTCTTACGGTGGAGACTTTGAACACTTGGAAATCTTCTGCTGGGAATAGATGAGTCTTGGCAAGCGTCTCTGTAGCTTCCATTTACTCTTCCGCTTGTCCTACAGCTGCAGATTAGCTGCGTCTCTGTTCCTGTGGATTCCATTAGGTGCTGAGTTCATATCCTCTGTTTTGCTGTAAGAGAATCACAGCATCCGTACTGCAATTTCTTCTTCTCAAACTTCATCTATGAGCTGTTCCTCACATGTCATGTTCATCTTCACCACATCTCCCTACCTTACACACACAATTCCATGCTGATTACTTGAACCAATGAGCCCGAGCAGAGCAACGTAAGCCACTAATCAACATTTTATTCCATCTTTTACATACAAAACGGAACTAAATATCTAATAATCGATGCATTTACATGGGCGGCAGATTGCAAGCTACAAGTTGATCCAGCAGCCATCAGTCGAGGGGCTGCGAGCACTCGGGAGGGAAGCCCCCGGGGAAGCGCTTGGCGTCGCGGCAGTAGTCGTAGACCATGTAGTTGTCCCTCACCCACTTCAGCTTCCGGGCCCCGCCGGAGTCCAGGCCCTGGTCCCACCAGCCAGCCTTGGAAGCCGAGCATGACGGCCGGCCGCTGGCAGCCACGCAGGCGTCGGCGACGAAGCCCCGGTAGGACGCCACGAACGGCGCCTGGCTCCAGTCCGTCTTCACCAGCCCGCCCCTGGTGGCCCAGTCGTCGGCGTCCCATAGGCTGGCGTACACGCGCATGGCCTGGCTCTTCGGGTACGCCACCCCCGCGCCTTCGCTGTTCCTGAACACCCTAACGGGCGTCCCGTCCACGTAGAACCTGTGACAACATGCGGAGAGAAGCGTCAGGCACGCAGCAGCAAGCAACGTCGACGTACGCGTGCATGTACGTCGAGCTTTGGTCATGGCGCGCGGCACTCAACACTATCCGCCGAGGATTCCACAGGACGGAGTAGGTGTGGAAAGCCAGCGTGGGATCGAACCAGAGGTAGAACTGCTGCTCCCTGTCGCCTTTCCCCTGCGCGAACACGTTGGTGTGGAGGACGTACGGCTCGCCGCTGGTGTTCCCCAGGAACTCGAAGTCGATCTCGTCGTGCGCCGGGCCTTGCGACGACAACTGCAGAGAAGACAAGCAACCCAACGCAATCAGTTCCACCAAACAAGCAGCAAAGCCTACCCTGCTCGTGTGCTGCATTACGTAGTAGGTGGTGACGGTGCCGGCGGAGTTCCCAGGCACCAGCTTCATCTTCATGTCGAACCTCCCGAACAAGTAGGCTTGCTTGGACTGGAAGCCGGAGCCGGAGGCGCGGTCGAGGGTGAGCTGGAGGAGCTCGCCGTTGTCCAGCATCTTCCCCCTGCCGTCACCCCAGGTTATGTCGACGTCCGACAGGAAGTTGGCCGAGGCAGAGGCGACCACCATGGCGGCCATGAACGAGGCACGAATCAGGGACAGCTTCGCCATGTCTTGGAGAGCTAATTGGTTTGGAGCAAAGCAAAGGGAAGAAGGCTGTTATATATATATATATGTGTGTGTGGAGCGTATGGGAAAGGGTGAGGCATGCAGCTGGATTCCAAGAAGATATGCACGGGCTGAGAGAAAGTAATTGCGTGGTTGACCTGCTTCTATCTTTTGGTGGCCGAGCTTCCATTATTGGTGATGTAGTTTGGATGATTGAGCTTGGAACACTTTGCACGCATATACGTGATAAGCACGAATGGTTCATAGGTTTAGGTAGGAGTCTGCAACAGCAACAGCGATAGTACGATTGGAATCGGAGTGCGCATCGCAGATGCTGCATGATGAATGAACTGTTTCTTGTTCTTCTTCTTCTTTACTGTGGGGGATAATGTGATGTGCAGAGCAAGAGACCAAAGTCTAAACCAACGATTAAGATGCATGGGATGGAGGACTTATCCGAGGTGGCAGGTACGACGTCAGGTGTCAAGATTGGACGCCTGCGTGCATGAGAAGCGCAGTGCTTACAGCTACTGCTGGGCTGTCAGTCTTTTGTCCGTAATCCAAATCACTGTCACGTAACGACGCAGATATGTATGTTTAATATATATATATATATATATATACATGTAATTATGTCTGTTTAAAATTTGATGTAACGGGAAGTCATGGTGGTGCATAAAGGACACAAAACGTTTCGGCCGCTACGAAGTCGTGTAATAGCAGCCGTTAAAAGCTCGACCCAACAAAAAAATTTCTTGCTGGAATCGAGATCTCATTCGAGGGTTCCGATCTCCTCGCAGGAAGAGCGCAAGGAAAGAGAGGGGAGCGCAATTCCAGATCAAAAATGGTTCGTTGCTTCTCGAATCCCTCCCAGCTCGTCAATTTTGCATTCATTTTCGGTTTCTCGTTATCCGATTTCTTCTTCTTTTGCTTTTTCCGGATGTCCCGTTCTCTAGCGACGATTTCTACCGGTCCCTTCTTCTCATTGTCGAATGGTTTGATTTCTAGGTCTTTTCCTTTCCCAGATCTCTCTTGGTTCCAATGGGTTTTCTTGAACAGTCTCGGAAACTGCGGATTTGAGATCCTTTTCCCAAACATTGCGTGTTATCTGAGCCTTGGCCCGCAATACACCTTTGTTCTGGTCGTTTGAAAGAATTGTATTTAGACGAAGCAGCATTTAAATTTGTTTTATGTCGAATAAAAGTATTTGTAATCATTGTGTTGTCCGTGATCATAAATTCGTAATTGGTTATAAGAATTAGGGCTTGAATGAATCTGAACCTCGTTTCCCAGTTTGATTCCGTATAGTTGTTGGAATTCTGGTGAAGGCACCGGCATTACAATGCTTGCTCACTGGTACCATAAATTGGAAATTTGGAAGTTCTTCTAGCACAAGACTTATTGAGGACATTCTTGCATACCTTTTTCAACATGTTACATCGTAGATAATATAAGTATCTTGGTTGGTTTCTTGATTCAATTTGAACATGATTAATCTAATTAAGGTAAGTACTTTATGAATCTCATGCCTGATGTAATAGAGAACTTTAGATCAGTTTGATATTGCACATAATATAATAGATTCACTAGAGGCTTTCATTATAAAATGGTTTGCATGGATCATCTACCATGGGGCCATAATTTTATTTTGGTGGGTAATATGCCCACCTAGATAACAAAAAGTAACCGAGTTCTCTGCATTTTGGATTCTTGGGTTTATGTAATATTTTATTTTTTTTCTAGTCAAGCATATTAGACTTAATCTGTTCCTTTGTTTATCTGATTCTTCCATGTGATATACGTCTTTTATCACATAATACTTTCTCAGAGACTTTTGTATCAGACAGGCACTTACAATTTATTTTATCTTTTCAGATCCATTTTGTAATTCTTATTAGTCGACAAGGGAAAGTTAGATTGACAAAATGGTATTCTCCATATCAGCAGAAGGAAAGATCCACGGTAATGTTATCTATGGAAAGCTTACTGTTTTCTTTCTTATGAAATATTGTTATTTATTATTTACCAGCACATCTTTGCTTTTACCTCTTTCATTATCTTGTTTCTTGTCTGCTTCTGTGTTCAATATAGAAATGGATGTCTTGAAGTGTCATCTTTCTTGGGATTTAAATTTATTAGCTATATAAGATCATCTTGCACAAGGAAGATATGAGATCACATGTCGAGCCTTGTTATTCTTTTAAATATTTTCCGAAGTTGGTGAGCACTTAATTTTTGCTAGTTTGAACAGAGTTTGCAAAAGTAATTCTATGATAAATCAGAGTTACTTCTCATGTTCTAGAGCCAGTGCGAAACCAATTTGGTAAAACTAACTAAGATAGCTCAACCTTCATATTTCTTACAGAATCAGCATATAACCATCCTTTTATCTTAACATACATTGATCTTCATAGCTTATAGTGTTTAGTCATTAGTGTTGCTTTTTGCTGCTTATCACCTGCAATGTGGCCAATGATATTACCATGCAGTGATTTTTCACACTCTGAAAATCATAAATCTTGATGTTTGTGGATATTTTGGGACATACATCGTATTTGTTGCCAAATTTAATATAAAAAGCTAAAAAGATGCCGGTGCTGGTTTATGCTATTTTTTTTATCATTGTGCATAACAGTTTTTTATTTCCTAAAAGGTCATCCGGGAGCTTAGTGGCCTCATTCTTTCACGAGGCCCAAAACTTTGCAATTTTGTTGAGTGGAAGGGTTACAAAGTTGTGTACAGAAGGTAGTCAGCTGGAATTATTTCTGACATGTCACCTTCAATGATGTTAGTTTTCTCTGACAATAGATAGATTTCTTATTCCTACGAGTCTTCCATATCTTTTTATGCAGATATGCCAGCCTATACTTCTGCATGTGCATTGATCCTGATGACAATGAATTGGAAATTCTTGAGATTATTCATCATTTTGTTGAGATATTAGACCGTTACTTTGGCAGTGTGAGTCACTATCATTCTTTACTATTCTGTTATAATATTAGCACTTTTACATAGCTGTGGCTCATCCATTTCTCCCTTCAGGTTTGTGAGCTTGATTTGATCTTCAATTTCCACAAGGTAATGATGTGTCTTTACATACTCTGAACTCTATACTCACGTTTACTGAAAGATTTTCGCTGTCTTTAATCTGACCAAAGGAATTTGCAGGCATACTATATTCTGGATGAGATCTTGATAGCTGGTGAACTTCAGGAATCGAGCAAAAAAGCTGTTGCACGGCTTATAGCTGCACAGGTAACTGTATTATAAATTCGGTTATTTTTGTCTTACCTATTTGTATTGGCTTCTGAGCAAATAACCTTACCCGCCATTCATCTGCATTTTATTGAATCAGATATAAATCAACCAACATTTCACATGGTTGTGCAAGTATCAAAAGAAAAGCAAATAAAACAAACATAAAGCATATGGAGCATTGATCAATATGAAATTATCAATGCTTTATCTTGCAACTGCTATCTTCAATTGTCCTTGTTGCTTTGACTCTCTTGTGCACACTAAGAGGATAACCTTACAGTTAATGTTCTTAATTGTGCTGAACAAACAAAATACTTGGACCACATCATGAGCTACATGTGAGATCTCCAATTGCTGGCATGATGTTTTTCGCAGTTGAGATTACAGCAGAGATGTCATCTGTGCATCTGTTTTGGAGTTCTTAGGTCTTTTTTGTTTGTTTGTTTTGTGAATACTCCTGATAGCGTCTGATGAAATGATATGTTCTGAATTTTGCTTCATATGACATCAATTTCACGGAACAAGCTTTTCACTTGTGTTGTTCTATTGCATTTTGATATATTACTACCAATAAGTTCTTGAATGTGAACATTGAATCCTTGTACAACATTTTTGGTACTTGGGTCAAGGTCACACTACCTGTCAGCATGGACACCAGAAGATCTATAGTCCTGAAATTTCTTTTGTCACTATCTCGAACAAGACAAACCACTATCTAATATACACATTGATTAGTTTTCCGTGAAATAGCTGAGATGGTGGTGCGTGAAAGCCCTGGTGAAGCCATTTGCAGAAAACTAGCACCAATTTAGCCAAAGTCACTAATACATAGATATTTTTTTCACTCCAACTGGCATCACTGAAATGATATTGTTCCTGAGCAATTCAAGTTATGTTTGCAGGACTCGCTGGTGGAAACTGCCAAGGAAGAAGCTGGTTCAATAAGCAATATGATTTCGCAAGCCATATGATTGCAGCTGCCATGTCAGAAATGTTGGGGGTGTGTCTACTGTTTTGATGCGTTTGTTTTAAGAACATGGAAGATATCAACATCCCTCAATTTATTTGAATATTCTATGTTGCTATATTGATAATTATTGCTGTCTTAGCTCAGTTGTAATGACACCATTTTTTGCAATTATATGTTATTCCCTTTCCAGTCTTTTTATAATATCCGGTAAGATGGGAATTATCTGAGATTAATGAACATTTCATTTAGAGAGGCGCATTTAGATAGAAAAACACATTTAAATATTGGGTGTTAATAGTCTGGGCTACAAACTGCACTACCATAAAAGGCATTTAAACACACTGTTCTATTTTATTTCGTTTATGTTTACTTATTTGTTTATTTTGTGATTTTTTTATGTTAAATATATAGATTTGATTGACTATACGCAAAAAGAATAATTCTATGATTTATAAAGCCACATAAATGTTGAACTCAATGCTTTCCCTTTTACGTTACTACGTAGAATTTTCAATGCTAATTAAAAGCAGTGATGGTAATCGTACCCATTCAACCTATCGGTTCGAAGAGAGTTCTTCGAAGGTCCGATTGGGTCATTTCAATCCGACCCGTTAAAAAAGCTCAAGTTGAGGCGTCCATTTAGCTTCATTCTGGTGGGACCGTCTCAACCTTCTATCAAGCAAACTTTCCAAGCATAACTATCCACTTGGCGCCGTGTCAACCTGTCCTGGCGTTTGACCCACGACGCAGATAACGGACGAGAGAAAGAGGTGACGGGGGTCGGGACATGATGAAGCCTGAGGGTTGAGGCTGTGGACAAAGGCACAATGGCAATGACAGTTGACGGGGCAAAGACTATAATTAATTACGAAGATTTCAAGAAATAAACTGAAGTAATAAATCAAAAGCGCCGCTTTCAGGCAAGAAAAAGAAATCGAAATTTTTGTTTTTGTGTTTTTTGTTTGTTTGTTTGAGAATTTGTCCTATAAGAATACAACGGTTTCCGTAAAGAAAAATATAACAGAATACGAACAAATTATAATTGGTTGGAGGAGAGATCGAAGAAACTCCCACGAGATGGGCGTGGAAGAAACCGGAGGACCGGCGGCGCCGCTTCTCCCCCAGCCGACTCCTCCGCAGTCAGCGCCGCCATGCTACGGCGTACCGGTCGCCGCCGCGGCCTTCCAAGATCCCTACTTCCCTGATCCTCCAGCGTACGTCCTCCTCCCCGTTTACCCCCGCCGCCGGCGCCAGCGCTGCGGATGCTTCTCCTGCTGCGGTTCCCTCATCTCTTCTTCCTCCACCCTCCTCTCGGCTGCCTTCTTCCTCGTCCTCCTCTCCTCCGCCTTCTTCCTCTGGCCCTCCGACCCCGTGGTCACCGTCACCCGCTTCCACCTCGAAGACATCCGCGTCACCCCGCCGCCTCTCGCAGCCATCGGCATCTCCCTGAGGGTCGATCTCAGGGTCCGCAACCCGGACTTCTTCTCCCTCGACCACCGCTCCATCGTGGTCTCGATCGGATACCGCGGGAGGCCACTTGGCTCCGTCACGGCCAACGGTGGCCACATTAAGGCGCGGGGGGTCTCGCACGTTCACGCCAAGCTCAAGATCGACGGGATCCGGGTGTGGAATGATGCCATCTATCTGATCGAGGATCTTGCAAGGAGATCGTTGCCTTTGGACACGGTCACTGAGGTCGACGGCAGGATGCGTCTCTTCTTCGTGGACGTCCCCGTTCAGGTAAAATCTTCAGAGGCTTCTTCTTCATTCCCATCAACTACTTGTGATTGATGAATTTACTATGCCAATAAGATCCAATTAATCCGATTCTTGTTGTTGAATTAAAGGGAAAAAAGATTAACCCAATTAGAACTTTATTTATTGGTTGCTTGATCTAGTGATCTTGGTAAATAAAGAGTTGTCCTTGTTCTAATTACTTGGTTTAAGACAAGCACACAGAGGACAACAGAAGCAAAAATTTTGGAATGTGGGTGTGTACAACATCTGCTTAGTATTTTTTTATTCCAAAGACTAGATTTTCTTGAAGAAAACTAATAAAGATGTGTTTCGATAGATCAAACCATTCTTCATGTTCTTTGATTTTTTGAGACTTATTAGACGGGAGAACATCTCATTGCCATGTCCCACTTAATAACACGAGTATGCTTTATCGACTCAACAAAATATGTACCATTTAATTTCTAATGTTTGGCATATCGACCTTATTGATTAGGGATAACTTTACTACTAGTTATCGGTATAACAACATCTTGATCAGTACGATTTTTCTCTCTCCCGATAAAGCAAACAACAACAAGATACACTATTTGTATTTTTATTTTATTACCTTTGATTTATTGAAGGAGTGTACATAACATCTGTACTTATTGAAGCTATATTGCTGTTCAAAACTGAAGAAAGTGAAGAAGAGAGTAAAAAAAGAGAGAGGACGTGAGCGAATCCAAGTTCCTCCATATCTTTTGATTTAATTCACTACAGAGCATGTGCAAGTATGTACTTGTTCGTAACGGGAGAAAAAAAAGATTCATGCCCGAATTTATCAATCTTTAGATGGAGAACTATGGACAAAAACTTCTCTTAAATGTGTTCGCAGTCAGTCTAATCATGATTCTGTACATGAAAAACAACCCCAGTTAATGCCCTGTAGCTGTGAATTACAATCTGCAAGAAATTTTTTCTCTTCTGTAGGAAGCAACAAAAATGACCTCTGTTGCTTCAGAATGTTCCTTTTCTCTCTAATCTATACATCAATTACCTGCTATTCTATGCAAATCTGCAGGGAAAAATTTCTTGTTTGGTGTCTGTTAATCCAGAAACCCGGGAACTCATTAATCAAGACTGCTACCCTGAGGTAAGTTATTTGACAAGTGTCACCAAGTAATCTTATTGCTTTTAGGACTTCACCTACCATAGACTTCTGATGCCAAATGCCTCCATGCGATCCTTGTTCAGTGACTACTGGTATTTGCAGCAGAGGATTCAGGTGGATGGTTCACAAAGTATTTGTTTCCTATTTCTGCATGTGTTTTACATAGTATGCGAAGTCAAAACAAAACTTGTTTATAAGATATGAATTGTAGTCTAGAAAATTGTAATCCGTGAACTCGAAATCTGAACAATGTGTTTAAGTGATGGCTTAATTAACCTTCCTTGGTGCTGACTGTGATGTTGCCATGCTACTTTGAACCATATATCTTGATTCCAGATAAACTGAGATAAAACCGATCCTAGCTCGGCCAAATAAGACCTGAGAGAACTGATCCTATATCTGCTCTTCTTTTCTGGTTGTGAATGAATGTTTACTATATCTGAAGCAATTTGCTGGAACTTACAGAAATATTATTTAAAGTTTCAGGACTTTTAGGATGAATTATAAGTAATGTTTTTTTCTTTAATCTTTGCCTGTCGTCACTTCTAGTGCTCATGCCAATTGTGTAGTTTGTGTAGTTTTCCTCGTTGAGCCGGACATGAAATTGTGAAATAATGGTATTTAGGTTTGTGCATTATTTCGTTGGCATATACTTTGCTTTGATGTTGCATTGATTGATTCTGTACTTCAGAGGATAGCAGGCTATAAATAATCTAGCAGTCTGCATCACTTTCATAATGAGGATGGCAGCAGCGCAGGCAGATCAAATTTAGGATGGGTTTGGATGGAAAAATAAATAATTAAATTGGTTGGGATTAGCTAGTTTGGATGGAAACATTTAAAATTATAGCACAATAGAAATCGTAGATTTAAGCCTTTAGATGGAATGACATTGACAAAAAAAATTCTATCTTTAAGTTGATGAGAAAGATTTCTCATATCCGAGTTTTTTTCAAAAGGAAAAAAAAAATTGGCAAGAAGAAACTGTATAAATAGGTTACTTGATTGAAAGATTGGAGATTGAAGCATTGAATCAATATCACTTGGTTGGGAAATTGAAATCAAATTAGCATTTAAAGTACCTGATGATTTTAATCTTCCTAAAATTAATGCAAGACAAAGATAAAAGATCGTATCAGAAGTAAAAGCAGCAAGTATGATTCTTAATACTAGAAAGGAAGTAAAAAATAAGTGCAGGATAAAGCATGGTGGGGGTAGGAAAGATTATCTAATTATGGAAGCAAGAAAGTATAAAGGGAGACAATTAATGAACCTATTAGTAATCCACAAAAAATATTTTTCGAACTTTTAATTAAAAGATTACACAAATATTGTTTCTACTTATCTGTAATGCTTCTTTTTAACTTTCGAGGGAACTCTTACATGTAATAATCTATCATAACAAATGTAAGACTTCGGTTGGGACATTAGAAGTTATTTTTAATCATTTTTAATCATATATATATATATATAATATGATTAAAAATATATGGCATGAAATCTCACTTGCCACTATGAGAATTTTGAGGGGATATGAAGTGATCCATCATCATCATGTGTATGTGATGTGGGTGGGATAGACCTTTCTATTGGGATTTTTGCACGTATGTGAATAATATGTTGCCTTCGAAACCTCGATTCATCTTCATAGCTTATATCCTTAACACAAAAATAACGTTAAATGGGACGCAAATATGGTGGGTGAGAATTCATTTACAGCAATATATCAACGGAAGTCAATGGAATTTAGATCGTTATACAATAAATCTTTCGTTGAAGAGCAATTAATGTCGTCCTTTACTTCTTACCAATTGTTGCATTCATGCATGCAGTCTCATCCTTTCTCGACCATATCAAATCTTTATCCACATTTGTGCTTCCATATATTACCCGCCGGCTTATACACTATTATCCGTCCTCTCCCCTTTTCATCTCTTCGTCTTCTGTTGATCTTTCTTGGATAGACCGGTGACAAATCTGCAGTAGAGTAATGCCGTCTGTAGTTTTGGCGAGTTCGGATGGCGGCCCGAAGCAGTTCGAGGGGAAGATCACGTCCTACGTGGTCATCTGTGGGATTATTGCTGCCACCGGAGGATTGATGTTTGGATACGACATCGGCATCTCCGGTAATAGATCGTCGTCTTTGGTCTGTAAGATTAGGTGACAGCATATGAAGTCAGATGAGATTTGTTTGGTATTAGGATTTTGGGGTGTTCGTTCTCCTGAATTCCAGGAATTCAATTCGTTAATGGTCCGTGGGATTTGAATGTGTTGTTCGCAGGAGGAGTTACATCAATGGATGACTTCCTGGAGAAGTTCTTCCCTGATGTGTACGTGAAGAAACACCGGGCCAAGGAGAACAACTACTGCAAGTACGACAACCAAGGCCTGCAGCTCTTCACCTCGTCGCTCTACCTCGCCGCGCTGGTGTCGAGCTTCTTCGCCTCCAAGTCGTGCACCAAGTTCGGCCGGAGGCTCACGATGCAGGCGGCGTCCGTCTTCTTCTTGATCGGCGTCGTGCTCGATGCCGCCGCCCGAGACCTCGCCATGCTCATCATAGGGAGGATTCTCCTCGGCATGGGCGTCGGATTCGCCAACCAGGTAGCTCTGTTTCCACGTCCCGGGAATCCACTCATTGTCTCCGTCAGAATCTTAAGGAGATCCAACTGGTGTAATGCAGGCGGTTCCGTTGTTTCTGTCGGAGATCGCGCCGGTGCGAATCCGAGGCGCCCTCAACATCCTCTTCCAGCTCGATGTAACCATCGGAATCCTCGTCGCCAACATCGTCAACTACTTTGCCTCGAACCTCCACCCGTGGGGGTGGCGGCTGTCCCTTGGCCTCGCCGGCGTGCCGGCCACGATCCTGTGCTTGGGCTCCTTCCTCATCACCGAGACGCCGACGAGCCTAATCGAGCGCGAGAAGACGGATGCAGGCTTGGCCATGCTCAAGAAGATCCGAGGAACAGAGAACGTGGAGCTGGAGTACCAGGAGATCGCGCGGGCCTGTGAGACGGCGCGGCAGGTGAAGCACCCGTTCCGGACGCTGATGAAGCGGCACAGCCGCCCGCAGCTGGTCATCGCCGTGCTGATGCAGGTGTTCCAGCAGTTCACGGGCATCAACGCCATCATGTTCTACTCGCCCGTCCTCTTCCAGACCATCGGGTTCAAGAACGACGCCTCGTTGCTGTCTGCCGTCATCACCGGCACCGTCAACACCCTCTCCACCGTCGTCTCCATCGTCCTGGTGGACCGAGTCGGCCGGAGGATGTTACTGCTCGAGGCCTGTGTTCAGATGCTTCTCTCACAGGTTCGGATCTCTCTCCCATCCCCTCTCTCTCTCCTCTTCATTCGAGTTACTCTGTAGGCCGGCACTGCTTTGAACCTCTGAGAACTGCAGGCTCTCATCGGAATCCTCCTGCAAGTGAATCTGAAATCAAACAACACGCTCCATCAAGGAGTGGCAGTGCTGGTGGTGGTGCTGGTGTGCCTCTACGTGTCGAGCTTCGCATGGTCATGGGGGCCTCTCGGGTGGCTGATACCCAGCGAGATCTTCCCCTTGGAGACGAGGACCGCCGGATTCGCCTTCGCCGTGAGCTCCAACATGCTCTTCACCTTCCTCATCGCGCAGGCCTTCCTCTCCATGCTGTGCCACATGCGGGCGGGCATCTTCTTCTTCTTCGCGGCATGGATCGTGGTCATGGGGCTGTTCACCATCTTCCTGCTGCCCGAGACGAAGAACGTCCCCATCGACGAGATGGTCGAGATGGTGTGGAAGCAGCACTGGTACTGGAAAGGCTACATGGACAAGGAGGAAGCCAAGGAAGACAATGTTGACATCATTTAGGGTTGCTTCCTCGTTGCAAACTTCACCTTCTTCCCCATGCACGCACGTAGGCGACATTTTCCATCGATGATCTCAGTGTGCCAACACACTCAAGATTGTTTCTTGATTTCTTCTTTCCAAAACAATGGTAGCTTTACAAGACAACATTGATTCTGTAGATTCGCAAGAACGATAAATTCAAGATGATGTCTTACGACCCAATCTCAAAATCTCACCCATCTAACTAAGATTCGATATTAGAACCACTATGGTAAGATCCAATCCAGTAATAACTTCCCGTTTTTCTACTGTCTCTTGTCGTCCTCAATATAAATTAAGAATAATAGACAAACAAAACAAAAAAAGAAAAGGAAGAGGCGATGAATCTCTCTGTCACAACTTATTTCGATTTTCTTTCTCACATTACATTCTTGTTTTCTTGTGTTTAATCCAAAATTTCTTTCAAAATCTTTTATCGTGTTGACTTAATTATAGAAAAGAATACTCAAATCTTGTGGATAGGTTAATTCTACATACAAGGAAAAATATTATCTGTCGTGATGTATTCCAAATTCAGAGATACTTTTCATCAGATTTCATCTAATAGGCAGAGGGTTCAATCGATGAAACCTTCGATCTCCATGATTGAAATCGTCAACATAGAATTGGAACTCTTGAACCAAAATCTACTGTAATTTATCACTTTTGGATAATTGTAATCATCTCTTAGATCTCAAGTTATGCCTGTTGGTAAACAGTTCATTTTGTCTTTAGAAAGAATGGATTAGGCCAAAATATCATAACAGGTGCAATTTTTTCTTTTTCTTTTTCTTTTTCTAATTTATAAGGTCTAACACATGAATATGACTCGAATATGAATCGTAATCTTGTCTTGACTCCGATTTAGAATCAACTATTTCAATCCTAAGATAATTTTGGTTTCATCGAATTTGGAACCAAAATCGAACCGATGATTTCAATTTTGTTTCCTAATCAATTCTATTTTCAAATCAAATTATATATATTATATATTATAATTTTTCTAAAATATTTCTCTAATTAATTATTTACTAAACTATTGAAAGAGACATATTTTTTAAAAAAAATATTTTTTTTTAATTTATTTGGAGCGAAACTAAATCGTCGGTTTGGTTTCGATTTTAGATTACATGAATCATAATGAAAATTTTATTTTAGTTCCGAATCATTGTTGACTTGGTTCAGACATTAGTTTTAATATTAATAAAATATTAATCAAATAAAGAAACAGAATATTAGACTTCTAATTAAAAAAATAATTTATTATTTCAGGTCACCACCCTATTCAAGACTAGTTTAATTCCCTATATTCAGAACATTTTCTTTTTCTGCTACGACATACCTCCTCTTACACATTATGATTTGGCCTCTGATGAGCCATTCATTATCTTTCTATCACCTCCTTGATGTGTGTGATGCACATGGCTAGCTTTTAATTCCCACATCTTCCTTCTCATTCTTTCAAAGGTTCTTCTGCTCTCTTCACATTGGTAATGTGTCCCAAAGGTCAAACATGACTCCTCCAAGACAAAGTTGGTGGTAGACTGGCTGTTCTAAATCCACCAAGTCAGTCCTCCTTTCAGACCCACACCTTCCATCTCTCCATTCAAGGTTTGATGACAACTCTTTCGTCTTATAAATGCATGGGAATTGCACATCATCATCATCATCTTCTTCAACTTCCCTTCAAACTTGGCACACTCACAGGACTGGGGATGACGTCTGCTGCATGCAACCCTGACGCTATCAGCTTAAACCAGGTGGAAGACGCGGCAGTGCTCTGTGCTCACGCGCGAGAATCCTCCCCCTTTTGACGCAGAAAAGAACACCACATGCCGTCCACCCACTTTCTGGAACCCAGTGGAGCTGGTCCTGACGCAATCGTACAGTGGCCATGGCGAAGACATTAAAGACGAAGAAGGGTGGTTGGGGTCAAAAGCATCTACTTCCTTGTCAAAGATCCATCACGAGTGATGCTCGGGAAGCAGCAGGACTGCCAAGTGTGCTCACTCGCTTTCATGTCAATGTCCTATGATGATTCCGGCATATCTCGGCAGTGGCATGTATTCCACCGGTGCTGTTGCTGGAGTTAATTAAGTAGGAGGTGGGCACTCGGTCACGAAGGTTAGATCGGGATGCCATCATACGCCACTTTCATGTCATGTCTCTCTGCGCCACCAGTGAAGGTTGGAGGAAGGACAATAATGGGTTGGCCTTTGTACTACATATATTATTGTGTTCTATGCAGAATGGAAAAGAAGACGAGCTCTGTTGGGATTCCACAAATGTCACTGAAACATCGAATGATTTGTAGAGCCAGTGATCACAACACACTGAATCTTTATAATGGCTCAACCAAAAGTTTAGACTCTAACATTACCATGTCACTGGCGACATGAGGAAACATGCAAACAACAAACAATCAAATGTGAAGTAAACATGGCAACGTTTCTCACATCGTTTGATACTAATCACCACAGCGCCAAAAATGAGCACATCAGTCCGACGACGACGAGCCAAGCTTATTACTTACCACTCACGACAAGCAACCACTACTGCCTAACAAGGCCACCGGCCACGGCAACGAAGGAGAAGACAGCAAGAACAAGGGCAAACGCCTGTGGCACGGGCTTCGTGCCAGCGCTGGGCCGCGGGGCAGCTGCCGGTGTAGGGATGCCTCCGGTACCGCTGCTGCTGCTGCTGCTGCCGCTGCTTGGGGAAGGGGCAGCAGCCGGGGAGGTGGAAGGGGCAGCAGAGGAGGACTTGGGGATGTAGATGTCCACCTTTTGGCCGATGGTGCAGTGGCCGGGGAAGCCGCAGAGGAAGTAGTGGTGGCCTTTGGTCTTGATGGTGATGGAGTCATTACCGGTGGCGTATGTGGCGATCGGAGATGAGGCGTTGCATGCATTGTACTCGGCCTTGGTCACCTCAAGCACGTTGTGGAAGCTATTGTTGTACTCGAACACTGCTCGCACGCATGGGAAGGTTGCATCAGTGGCTAATGACTTACATGAAGAATGATCTCATGCGAAGGCCACCCGAGAAAGAACATTGAAACCGAATCAAAGGAAGCAATCGAAACAGCATGATGAAGAAGATGATGCAAAAGCAGTAGCTTCTCATTTAACATGCCATTTTATCAAGAGATATGCAACAAATATATGCATTCTCTTGCAGTCCGATCTTAAACCTTGAATCTGCTGCATCCAATCATCTATAATCAGTAAACATTCCTAAATTGCATTTCGAACAAGACAAAGTTCCATATTCCTTCCTAAATCAGTAGCTCCGTTCTATATTATTCATTACAATTACATAATAAATCAGACAAGGTTTCACTGAAACATCTCCAAAAGGCACCATGTTGTTCAAGCTTCATCAAAGATAAAGAATTAGGGGGGGGCGGGGAAAAAATGACATCTTGAGAGAGAAAAATAAGAGACAAAGAAAAGGAGAACATAGTTGCAGATTCATACAGTTCTGGTTACACAGAGAAAGAAAGGAGAAAAAAAGTAAATCCAAAGCAGAGATCAATAAATCCACACAAAAGAAGAAGAAAATAAGAGACCGAGAACTCTGCAGGGCTACCGGACAATCAAGGCTAAACATAAACCACAGAAAAAAGGAACTAAAAAGCTTCCCCAAAAAATAAAGGTTAAAGGAAAACTCAAGAACAGAGGAAGAAGAACAATAACAGAAGACTGACTACATGGGAAGAAGAAGAAGAAGAGGTACCGATGGTGTCTCCCACATGGAAGGTCTTGGACGCGGCCCAGGCAGTGTAGTTGGGGCTCCCCATGATGGTCCACCCCGCGGAATCCCCCACCTTGTAAACTGCACCCTCCGCCGGCCCGGCACCGGCGACGAGAAGCAACGCCACCAACCCCGTTGCCATCGCTAACACCTTCTCCATGGCCGCACCAGACAGAGGACACTCCACCCTTTCGGCTGTTGGTCTACGTCGGTGGAACAACAGCGGTGCGTTTATGAAGCCTCCCACCCTCATGGCTTTATTATTATTATTATTATTCTAAATCAAATCTATAAAAAAAAGTATAATTACCATAAATTTACTTTAACAAGGTCATGAGAATCCAGAACCTTCGTCCGTTTTTTCCTTTTTCTATTTTTCATTTCAAAACATCGATTCTCGTGTGAAACTGAAATCACGCCTTCAATTATGGAATTTGATATGGAAAATCGAGTCAACACAAGTCAAACAAGTATATATATATATATATATATATATATATATATATATATATATATATATATATATATATATATATATATATATAT